ATTTTCTAGACGTTACATCACAATTTTTCTTTTTTTCATTTCATTTCATCATAAATTCAATGTTTCTTGCGATTTTATAATTTTTCGTATATTCTATTTTTCAAATTTTCAATTTTTGATTTTTCAGTTATCCTTTTCTTTAATTTTTCAATTTGCAATTTCTCAGTTTTGCAATTTATCAATTTTACAATTTTTTGGTTTCTCGATGTTAAATTTTCCTATTTTCTAATTTTTGTTTTCTTCGAATATTCGATTTTCAGTTTTTCAATTTTTCATTTTTAGATGTACTTATTCCGTGTTTTCAATTGTTTTAATTTTAAAATTTTTTGGTGTCTTAATTTTTTCATTTTTCAGTTTCTCAATTTTAGTCTAATTTGCGATATTTCAATGTTACATCACAATTTTTCCTATTTTCGTTTCCTTTATTTTTTCAATGTTTCTTTCGATTTTATAATTTTTCGTTTACTCTATTTTTCAAATTTTCAGTCTTTGATGTTTCAGTTTTTCGTTTCTCAAATTTTTTCATTTGAAATTTTTTGATTTTACTCTTTTTCGTAGTTTCGATTTTCAATTTTTCCGATTATTTCGATTTCGATTTTCTAATTTTTATTTGCTTCAAATTTTCGATTTTCAGTTTTTCAATTTTTCATTTTTAGATATATATATATTTCGTTCAATTGTTTTAATATTCAATTTTTTTGATTTCTTAGTTTTTTTATTTTTCAGTTTCTCGATTTTTCCTAATTTGTGATATTTCAATTTTTCATTTCTTGCATTTTTCGTTTGGAACTTTTTCGATTTTACTAGTTTTCCTCGTTACAATTTTGCTATTGTTCATTTTTTTTCTCAATTTTTAGTTTTTCGTTTTTTCTATTTTTCAAATTTTCAACCTTTGATTTTTCGATTTTCAGTTTGTCAATTTTTCATTTTTAAATGTAGGTACTTATTTCGTGCTTTCCATTGTTTCAATTTTCAAATTTTTTGGTTATTTTAATTTTTTGATTTTTCAGTTTCTAGATTTTTTTCTAATTTTTGATAATTAAATTTTTCATTTCATTTCTTAAATTTTTCGTTTGGAAATTTTTCGATTTTACTAGTTTTCCTCCTTACAATTTTGCTGATGTTCAATTTTTCATTTATTCAGTTTTTCGACTTTACAATTTTTCGATTTTTCGTTTCTTTTCCGTTCCTTAATTTTTAATTTTCAGATTTTACAATTTTTCGTTTGCTCAATTTTTCAAGTTTTTGACTTTTACTTTCCATTTTGCCGATTTTTTGATTTTCATTTTCTGGATGTTATATCACAGTTTTTCCTTTTTTCATTCCCTTTATTTTTTCAATGTTTCTTTCGATTTTACAATTTTTCATTTATTTTGTTTCTCAAATTTTAATGTCTTTGAATTTTGAATTTGTCGTTTCTTCAATTTTTCGATTTGCAATTTCTCTATTTTGCAATTTTTCAATTTTACGATTTTTCTTGTTTTCAATTTTAAATTTTCAATAGTTTTGTTTCCCGGTTTTAAATTTCCTATTTTCTAATTTTTATTTTCTTCAAATTTTCGATTTTCAGTTTTTCAATTTTTCATTTTTAGATGTACTTATTTCATGTTTTCAATTGTTTTAATTTTCAAATTTCGTGGTTTCTTAATTTTTTGATTTTTCAATTTCTCGATTTTTTTCTAATTTTTTATATTTAAATGTTTCATTTCATTTCTTAAATTTTTCGTGTGGAAATTTTTCGATATTACTAGTTTTCCTCCTTACAATTTTTTCTGTTATTCAATTTTTCATTTATTCAGTTTATAGATTTTACAATTTTTCGATTTTTAGTTTCTCAATTTTTGATTTTACAATTTTTTGTTTCCACAATTTTTCAAGTTCTTGATTTTTTTTTTATTTTTCCGATTTTTTGATTTTCATTTTCTTGATGTTATATCACAATTTTTCCTTTTTCATTTCCTTTATTTTTCCAATGTTTCATCCGATTTTATAATTCTCCGTTTATTCTATTTTTCAAATTTTCAATCTTTGATTTTTCAGTTTTTCGTTTCTTCAATATTTCCATTTGCAATTTTTCAATTTTACAATTTTTCGTAGTTTTTCAACTTTCAATTTTTCCGTTTCTTGATGTTAAATCTATATTCTAATTTTCATTTTCCTCAAATTTTCGATTTTCAGTTTAACAATTTTTTATTTTTAGATGTATTTTGTGTTTTCAATTGTTTTCATTTTCAAAATTTTTGGTTTCTTAATTTTTCGATTTTTCAGTTTTTGACATAGGTATCAATTTTTCATTTATTCAATTTTTCGATTTTTCAGTTTCTCAGTTTTTAATGTTTCGATTTTCTAATTTTTCAAGTTCTTTTTTTATTTTTCATTTTTGCGATTTTTTAATTTTCATTTTCGCGATTTTATATCACAAATTTATCGTTTCTTCAATTAATATTTTTTCGTTTATTCAATTTTCCAAATTGTCAATTCTTCGGTTTCCCGATTTTTAAATTTTTTAAATTTGCAATTTTTTGATTTCTCAGTTGTCCGATTTTCCGAACTTTTATTGTCAATATTTTGATTTTACCATTTTTCGTTTTTTGAATTTAGATGCACTATTTCGATTTTTAATTGGTCGAATTTTCAATTTTCGTCTTCAATTTTTCAAGTTCTTTATTTCCAATTTTTAGGTTTTTCAATTTTGCAATCTTTCCATTTTTTTGATTCGAAAAATTCAAAACCGAAAAACTAAAAAATCTGAAAAATCGTAGAACTGAAAAATTTCAAAATCGAGAAAGTGGAAAACCGAAAAATTGCCCATTGAAACACTGAACAAACAAAATTTTGAAGCATCGAAAAACTGGAAATCGAGTCGAAAAATCAGAAAACTCAAAAATTGTAAAATCGAAAAATTATAGAATCGTCAAAATCGTGAAGCCGAAAAACCGTAACACTGAAAGATCGAAAAATTGAAAAATCAAATATTGAGAAATTAAAAAATAAAAATCGAAAAATTGTAAAATTGTAAAACTGAAAAAGTGAAAGATTATAAAAATTGTAATTATTATGACATATTTGAAATTGAAAAATCGAAAAACTGGAAAATCTAAAACCGAAAAAACAAATTGAAAAATCGAAAAATTAAAATCCAAAAATTGACAAATTTCACAGTGAAAAACAGAAAAATTATGAAATCAGAACACAGAAAAACTGAAAAATTGTAAAAATTAAGAAGATAAAAAAAGCGAAAGGAAAACCTGCAAATCGAAAAATGGAAGAAATGAAAAACCGAAAAATTGAAAAATTAACAAATGAAAACTCATAAAATAGCAAATCAAAAATCATAAATTCTAAAAACTGAAACATCCAAAAGTTGCTTGTAGTAAAATTGAAGAAAAAAGAAACAAAAAATTATAAAATGTAACATTAAAGAAACGAATTAAATTGGAAAGATGAAAAATTAAAAAAATGAAAACATTGACAAATAAGAAAAGAAAAAACCGAAACGAAAATTGTTAAACATAAAATTGGAAAATTTTAAAGTTGAAAAAGCGAGAAACTGTAAAACGAAAAATAAAAAAATCTAAAACCTGAAAAATCTAAAAACTGAAAAGCGAAAATTACAAATCGAAAAACTAAAAAATTCAAAAATTGAAAATGTTCACATTGAAAATTAGAAAAATTACAAAATCAGACTTTTGAAAAACCGAAAAATTGAAAAAAAATACTTTTTAGTTTGTTATATGTAAAGGACATTTTCCATAAATAAATTAATGATAATAATTCAAAAAGTCGGAAAATGAAGAACCTAAAATTGAAAAATGAACAATTAAAAAATCTAAAACCTGAAAAAAAATCTAAAAATTGAAAAATCTAAAAATTGAAATTTTTTATGGTGAAAATAAGAAAACCTATAAAATCAGACCTCTGAAAAAACGAAAAATTGAAAAATAAAGAAGATAAAAAACCGGAACGAAAAATTGCACACCAAAGAATTGAAGAAATGAAAAATTGAAGAATAGAAAAATTGAAAAATTAAAAAATGAAAACTCGTTGCATTGCAAATCAAAAAATTGTCGTGCGAAAAATTGAAGAAAAATAAAATAGGAAAAACAAAAAATTATAAAATTGAAACTCATTAAAAAATCGGAAAACTGTAAAAATAAAGAAAATGTAAACTGAAATTGCCACCCTCCAAGGAAATCTAGAAGCTACAGAATTTAAAGTCATCTGTTTCCTTAAAGTCGCTCAACTTCATCAGCTAATTTAAATTTTCTCTTTTTTATTTTATTGCGATTCACTCCAATAGTTAACGTTTCGGGGACTAAATATGAAAAATTAAAGAATCGAGAAATCGAAAAATTGCAAAATTAAAAAGTTGAAAAACCGAAAAACTGAAAATTTGAACTTGAAAACTCAAAAAAAAGAGAAATTACGCCATTGGTTTTGACTTTATACAGGCAACGAAAATCGCAAAAAATTGTTATAGTTAATTTTTCAAAGAAGTTGGATTTGTTGGGCTGTAAGTACATGGGCGAGGGAAGTTCCGTCGAAATAACCTTCGACGAATTTTTTTCCTCTCGTTTATAAATCCTTACTAATTATTATTAGGAATTCTTAAACCCAGATAATTTTGAAAACCTCGTCCACGATCTCTCATTACAAAACGCAATCATCTCCGTCTTTGTGCCTCTGCTAAACTTTCTCTCCGACGCAACCTCCTGCCGTTGCATAACCCAATAAATTTAATTACGTTTCTATCGGTTTATCTCCGTGGCCATGAACTAATCTCCTCCGATCACATCTCCGAGACAATAGAGATGAAGCCCGAAACAGGATGATAAAAACTCGCATTCCACCGTAAGGGCAAATGTTTACAGATTTGGAAATGGCCTGATCAGGTATGCGACTGCTCGCTATAAATCTCCTCCGGTCCATTGTCCTCTCGTCCTCAGCTCGGGCACGTCGTCATTTTCGGCCCGATCCCCGAAAATAAGCGGTTTACTCACCTCGCAGGAGCACCTTCCTAATGCTCCTCCTCGACGACGTGCAGTTCCACCGTCGGTTCCTGAACTGGTACTGGCATTCCTTCTGGCCCAGCTCGACGCCGAGGGAGATCTGAGTCAACAGCACCGGCTTGTTGCATATGTCGGCCATTTTGCCGCGGAGTCGTTTGGTCTTCTTGCAGATTTGACGGGGGTCCATTACCAGCTGGCTTCCGGCGGCCCTGGAACAAAGCAAGGGTTACAAGTTACAAGGTTGGCGCACTCTGTCGTACTAATGTCTATCGGGCGGAGAATCGTAATGATAATGACGACATCATGACCGGTGATTTGGGTATCGAAATGACTCGCTTTATTTGAGTGAGGACGGTAATGGGGCGATTATAGTACTCGCTATCGTAATGGGTTTCATATAATCTCTTTTCAACATTGCAATCAATTACAGTATGAACTGATTTCATCTGATCTGACATGATTAGATCAAACCAGACCAAACCAGTCCAAACCAGATCCGTCTAGATCGAAGCAAACCAAATCTAATTTGATTTGATCTGAGTAGTACTTATAAATAATTTCTGTTTTACATTGCAGTCAAAAATAATCCTGAACTCGTCCTATCAAAAATCAAAACAATACAAAATTTAAAAATCGAAATATTGTAAAATTGAAATATTCAAAATGAAAGTTCAGAAAATCGAACAATTGAGAAATCAAAAAATTGCAAATTTAAAAAATTTAGAAATTGGAAAACCTAGGGCTTGAAAATTTGAAAAAATGAATAAACGAAAGATTATTAAATGAAAAAACGAAGAATTGCTACATACAACCGATAAAATGAAAACTAAAAAATCGGGAAAATGAAAATCAAAAATTAAGAACTTGAAAAATTGAAAAACTGCATCGATAACCGGAAAAATCGAACAATCTCGTAAGACTGAAAAATTGAAAAACAGAAATATTGTAAGTAGGAAAACTAGTAAAATCGAAAAATTGAAGAAATGAAAAATTGAAATATCGAAAATTAAAAATCGAGACTAAAAAATCGAAAAATTAAGAAATCAAAAATATGGAAATTAAAACAATTGAAAACACGTAATACATCTAAAAATGAAAAATTGATAAACTGAAGGAAATAAAAAATTCGAAAATGGGAAATTAAACGCGAGAAACGGAAAAATTGAATACTGAACTTACGAAAAATTGTAAATTTGAAAAATTGCAAAACTGGAAAAATGCAAATCGAAAAACTGAAAAATGGAAGATGGAAAATTGCAACAATGGATTAAACGAAGTTATAATTCTTCGTTTGAAACTGAGGAAACTAAAAATTGAAAAATATAAAAATCGAAAAATTGCAAAATTAATAACTCAATATCTCGAAAAGTTGTAAGATAGAAAAATTTAATAAGAAAAATTGAAAAACAAAAATATTGTAAGGAGGAAAACTAGCAAAATCGAAAAATTGAAGAAATGAAAAATTGAAATATCGAAAATTAAAAATCGAGACTAAAAAATCGAAAAATTAAGAAATCAAAAATATGGAAATTAAAACAATTGAAAACACGAATACATCTAAAAATGAAAAATTGATAAACTGAAGGAAATAAAAAATTCGAAAATGGGAAATTAAACGCGAGAAACGGAAAAATTGAATACTGAACTTACGAAAAATTGTAAATTTGAAAAATTGCAAAACTGGAAAAATGCAAATCGAAAAATTGAAAAATGGAAGATGGAAAATTGCAAAAATGGATTAACCGAAGTTATAATTCTTCATTTGAAATTGAGGAAACTAAAAATTGAAAAATATAAAAATCGAAAAATTGCAAAATTAATAACTCAATATCTCGAAAAGTTGTAAGATAGAAAAATTGAGTAAGAAAAATTGAAAAAAAAAAAATTTTAAGGAGGAAAACTAGCAAAATCGAAAAATTGAAGAAATGAAAAATTTAAATATCGAAAATTAAAAATCGAGACTAAAAAATCGAAAAATTAAGAAATCAAAAATATGGAAATTAAAACAATTGAAAACACGTAATACATCTAAAAATGAAAAACTGAAAAACTGAAGAAAATAAAAATTCGAAAATGGGAAATTAAACGCGAGAAACGGAAAAATTGAATACTGAACTTACGAAAAATTGTAAATTTGAAAAATTGCAAAACTGGAAAAATGCAAATCGAAAAATTGAAAAATGGAAGATGGAAAATTGAAAAATGGATTCAGCGAAGTTATAATTCTTCGTTTGAAATTGGGGAAACTAAAAATTGAAAAATATAAAAATCGAAAAATTGCGAAATTAATAACTCAATATCTCAAAAAGTTGTAAGATAGAAAAATTGAATAAAAAAAATGTTGTAAGGAGGAAAACTAGCAAAATCGAAAAATTGAAGAAATGAAAAATTTAAATATCGAAAATTAAAAATCGAGACAAAAAAATCGAAAAATTAAGAAATCAAAAATATGGAAATTAAAACAATTGAAAACACGTAATACATCTAAAAATGAAAAATTGAAAAACTGAAGAAAATAAAAATTCGAAAATGGGAAATTAAACGCGAGAAACGGAAAAATTGAATACTGAACTTACGAAAAATTGTAAATTTGAAAAATTGCAAAACTGGAAAAATGCAAATCGAAAAATTGAAAAATGGAAGATGGAAAATTGAAAAATGGATTCAGCGAAGTTATAATTCTTCGTTTGAAATTGGGGAAACTAAAAATTGAAAAATATAAAAATCGAAAAATTGCGAAATTAATAACTCAATATCTCGAAAAGTTGTAAGATAGAAAAATTGAATAAGAAAAATTGAAAAACAGAAATATTGTAAGGAGGAAAACTAGCAAAATCGAAAAATTGAAGAAATGAAAAATTGAAATATCAAAAATTAAAAAATCGAAAACTTTTTCAATTTTTCGTTTCTTCAATTATTGGATTTGCAATTTCTCTGTTTTGCACTTTTTCAATTTTTCTTATTTTCAATTTTTTTGTTTCTCGATGTTAAATTTTTCTATTTTCTAATTTTTATTGTCATCAAATTTTCGAATTTCAGTTTGTCAATTTTTCATTTTTAAATGTAGGTACTTATTTCATGTTTTCCATTGTTTCAATTTTCAAATTTTTTGGTTTTTTAATTTTTTTGATTTTTCAGTTTCTAGCTTTTTTTCTAATTTTTGATAATTAAATTTTTCATTTCTTTTCTTAAATTTTTCGTTTAGAAATTTTTCGATATTACTAGTTTTCCTCTTTACAATTTTGCTGATATTCAATTTTTCATTTATTCAGTTTTTCGATTTTACAATTTTTCGATTTTTCGTTTCTTTTTCGTTCCTTAATTTTTAATTTTCAGATTTTACAATTTTTCGTTTGCTCGATTTTTCAAGTTTGTGACTTTTATTAAAATTAAAACAATTGAAAACACGAAATACATGGTTCATGGGATGAAAAAAGTAATCGAGGAACTGATTACTGAAAACAAAAAACTACGTGTGGAGATAGAGGACATGAGGGGGAAAAAGAGGGAAAGTAATATTGAAATGAGTCGTGTTGATGATGATGCTGTTGTAGAAGAAGCCATGGATAGAATCTATCGCTCTAACAATGTTATTGTCCAGGGTCTTCAGGAACCTCATGGTGATGATGTACAACGAAAACGAGCTGATGAAGATGCAGTTAAGAATCTTATAGGCCCAGTTATTGAAGGTAATCAGGAATATCAGATTTTGTCTGTAATTCGCTTAGGAAAACCAAATCAAGAACGTTCTCGTATGGTTAAGGTTGTCCTCAATAGTTCAGCTGTGGTTAAAAAATTGGTACGCCATCGATTCAGCAACAATATTTTCTGCAATGTTGATCTTACACCTCGTCAACAGACTAAGGCTTATGCTATTAGAAAAGAATTTAGAAGTCGGCGCAACAATGGTGAGGAAGACATAAGACTAAAATACACAAATGGTGTGCCAAAAATCGTCAGTACAAAAAATGTGTAGATTTCCAGCAGGCAAGATTTCCTCGTTCACGTACATCTTTAAGTGGAAACATTGTTTATCAAAATGTGCGAGGTCTAAATACTAAAATTACGGACTTTTATGTGAATTGCTCTTCATTGGATGCTGACGTTGTTATTCTAAGCGAAACATGGCTTACCAGCAATGTTAGTTCAAGTGAGTTATTTCCTTGCTTTTTTAATGTATATCGATCCGATAGAATTACTGGTCGTGGTGGAGGAGTTTTGGTGGCAGTGAGGAACCAGTATGTTGTAAACAAGCTTGATGTTAGCTCACCGGTACCATCTGTTCAACTTTTAGGCATAAGAATTTCTATAAGCAGTAGACATATTATTATTCTTGCCATGTACATTCCTCCTTCACTCAGTCTTGATGTTTACACTTCTATCTTTGACTACTTGGAAAGTGCCATAGACTTCTCAGTTCCCGTCATGTTATGTGGCGACTTTAATATCCCGGAAATTTCTGAATGTGTGACAGGTACAAGGACAACCCAATTATTTAACATCTACACACAGTTTCTGGCGTTAAATAACTTGGTTCAACACAACAGCATTCTCAATCGCAACAACAGAATATTAGATTTAGTTCTGACGACAGAAAGTTTAACAGTAACTGTAGACAAACAGGAGTTGACATTAGTTACAGAGGATAATCATCATCCTGCTCTAAATATACAACTGGAATTAGTGAACCTGGATAGTGTACCATTTGTACATGGGACTGATGACTTGAGATTTAACTTTCACAGAGGTAATCTGGAAGGGCTCTACCTATCACTTGCTGGGACTGACTGGTTGCCAGTTTTAGATGCTGCTGATCCTACTCTGGCCTGTGAGAAATTCAATGAAATCATTTTTACCAACATCTCCCAATATGTACCAATTTCAAAGTCCTTTGGTCAGCGGGAAAATTACCCTGTTTGGTATACTAGATCTGTTATCAACAAAATCAAAACAAAGAATAGACATTGGGATATTTATAGAAAAACCAAGTCAGTATATCATCTTGATAAAGTGAAGAAGTTACGCTGTGAAATCAGAAAAGACATTAGGTACACATATTATGAGTTTATAAGAAAATCTGAAACTTCTCTACAAAGCCATCCGAAAAAATTTTGGTCGTTTGTTAATGAAAAAAGAAAGCCACGAATGTTCCTGGTCTCATGACCTTTGAGAATCATACCTTGACATCTCAACAAGATATAGTCAACAC